CTTTTGCCTTTCCTCACATTCATTTTTAATCCTCCAGATTTCCATCCCAAATAAGATCACCTGGTAGAGCTTTAGCTTTGCAGTTTCGATTCCCAGTGTTGACAACAAGATGGTGCAAAATTCCAAGAGGGAAAAAAAGATTTCTCCTATGTCAAACTCCTGCCAGAGAAATCAACCATCTGCTCTAGGATCAGGCAATTTCCAGTGTGTCCATAAATGACCTTCGGCCACTCATTCTTTTTCAATCTAGCTTGGCCTGGCCAGCCACCGAGTTGTTTTGTGGTTCCCAGAAAGTGGAAACATCACTGCTCAAATCCTGGTCACTGGACAAGATGGCTCAGAAGTCTGAGATATTCGTCTCCAAAAGTTACCTTTTCAGCTCTATTTAATGCAAGGGAAGCAGTGTGCATGCCATTAAGATCTTTTTGGGGAAACAACATGAAAAAAATTAGCATAAAATAGCATAGGAATTCCCACCAGCCTTCAAGGTGATATATCTTTATTTTCTACTTCCGGAGCTGAATGAACAAAGAACAACAACAAAAGCCAGCAGTGAAGTGCCCTGAAATCAATAATGCAGGAAATCCCAATTATTCCTTCTAATTTAGAGTGCATAGCAAACTAGTGCACATATGTTTTATCTTCTCACCTTTCCGAAACTCACAGAGGGCTTCTCTTGTCCTTTATCTCTGGGTCGAACAGTTTCATGTGGACTTAAAAAAAATTAACTCTGGGGATCCATCAAGAGATAAGATCTCCTTCTGTGAATCTCAAAGTGGTATCTATCGATTTTCCTCTCTCCCACAAAACTGACAGAAGGTAGAAGAGGAGCAACCAATATGTTTTTTTGTGTGTGTGTGTGTTATGATTGCTGTTCCTTTTGGCTGGTCATCTGCTCCTCCAAAGTCAAAGTGTCCCAAAGAATTCACATTTCTCCGTAGGCAGCTGGCACACTAATTGACCGGACGCTCCTTGAGAGAACTGGGACGCAAGACCTCTGCGGCTCGGCACTCTTTCCTCCCTGAGACATGCAAATGACCTAAACATCTTGGCATCGAGTCCAGGTGTTGTCATATCAATACAGTGCTATTTGCCTCGGTTAGGCTGATTTGACCAGCCTCGTGCATCACCTTGTTGAGTTAGGTGGAAAGATGCCCAAAAAGGTGCAGGAGCCACCTTCCTTTAACGAGCAGAGCTGAGCCTAATTATGTGGCCTCCAGGCAGAAACTGTTCCACAAATCATCAAGCATACGAAGCTTGGCTCAAGAGAGAAATCCAACCTGCAGCATTTTCACACCTTTGACAGCACTTTCCTGACGCCTTCTCTTGTTGGAGTGTCAAAGGCAGCAATGCTTTCCTTAGAAGAACTATTTTGGCTTTGAAAATCAGTTCTCTGAAGCACAGCCAAGCACCTTTGGCAGGGCGAGAGGGCCAAATGTTTACCTTGTATTTCCACCAAAGGATAATCCCAAACAGGGAAAGAGATTCAAAATACAGAGGAAAAAATGGAATGGCTTGCAGATTGGGATTGTGGGGGTTAGATATGGGTTCCTTTCCTTGGCTTAGTAATACACAAAACTGCTGCTAAGCATCCTGTTGCTTTCAGAAATACAAATGATTGGAATGCAAGAGTGTTGTCTTTTCAACTTACTTACTTAGGTGATCCCTCGTAGCCCGGAGATGATGGGCCTCCAAGTGTAGTGTCTTGGCAGTGGGTGTGTAGGTGGCTGTGGAGGACATCGGTTTCCAGGTGAAAGTCAGTCCCAGTCAGGGTTGGCTTGACATGCCTTTCTTTTGGCACATTTCTCCCTTTCGCCCTCTGTTCATGCCTCTTGAATTCTGCAGCACTGCTGGTCACAGCTGACTTTCAGTTAGAACGCTCAAGGGCCAGGGGTTTCCAGTTCTTGGTGTCTATGCCACAGTTTTTAAGGTTGGCTTTAAGCCCATCTTTCAATCTCTTTTCCTGTCCACCAACATTACATTTTCCATTCTTGAGTTGGGAGTAGAGTAACTGCTTTGGGAAATGGTGATTGGGCATTTGGACAACGTGATCAGTCCAGCAGAGTTGATAGCAGAGGAGCATCGCTTCAATGCAGGTGGTTTCTGCTTATTCCAGGACGCTGACACGCCTGTCTTCCCAAGAGATTTGTAGGATTTTTCAGAGGCAACGCTGATGGAATCATTCCAGGAGTTGAGTGTGAAATCTGTAGACAGTCCACGTCTCGCAGGCGTATAGCAGGGTTGGGAGGACAATAGCTTTATAAACAAGCACCTTGGTCTACCTACGGATGTCCCAGTCCTCAAACACTCTCTGCTTTATCCGGAAAAATGCTGCACTTGCAGATGGAGTTGTATTTCATTGTCAGTGTTGACTTAAGTGGAGAGATGCCTGCCAAGGTAGCAGAAATGGTCAACATTTTCTAATGTTACACCATTAAGCTGTATTTCTGGCCTTGCAGAGGGATTGGCTGGTGACTGCCGGAAGAGCACTTTGGTTTTCTTGCTGTTCAATGAGAGGCCAAGCTTCTCATGTGCTTCTGCAAAGGTGCTTAGAGTGGCTTGTAGGTATTCTTCTGAATGCGCACAGATGACATTGTCATCAGCATACTGGAGTTCTATAACAATATAATTATTTTCAAACTACAAGGACTTCTATACATGGGCCATTTTTTTCCACAGAGGTTTACACAGGCATACTGATTGATTTATAATCTTATCTTATTTCCTAACCAAGGCCTTTGAAGCAGCTAAACAATGAAATTGCATGGATGGGGATTGTGTAGCCCTTTGCTTTTGTGATGCAACTTTGGATTCTAGGAGTTGCAGTTTAAAAAGGTAACTCCTCCAAGTATTGGCCAAGGGTGACACAAAACATAATGAAGTATCAGTGAAGTAATGTCAAAATCTTGAGAAAATGCCTCACTGCCTAAAAATTTATCATGCAGGTAATTGATTAATCTAGCTGAGATCAGTGGCACTGCAACAAAACTGTGTCCATTAGTTACACCCAAAGGGGAATTTTCAGCCAATCCTAGCACTGCACTTAGTACAGGTTTCTCAAACACTTGTGATTTGCATTCAGATTTCCCTGTTTCAAATGTAAGGTACACTTCAAGGGAAAAGGGTGAGGATGCCTTCAACCAATCAGAGTGGCTGTCCCCATTGCCCAGAACAAGCTACAAGCCCATTCAGACTTCCTGGGGAATGCCAGAGGCTTCATTTTAATTTTTAAATAAGCTACACTCTTCTACAGATTAGACGTTGGTTATTTTTCTCTTCATGCCAATTTTGGCTTATTGGGAAGTCGCTTCAAATCAAATCAATGTAGCTCATTTTCCCCTCTCTTGCCTTATCCATGAAATCCAAGAGAAAATAACCAGGACGTGTGTCCAAGTAGAACAAGATATGGTTATGAATGCGAAAACTGGTGCCTGTGATTTTTGCCATTGTCTATATTCTTTCCTGTAGTACTCCCTAAGCTAGTTGCTGAGAAATGAAGCAAATCTGAGAGAGAAAATACCAAGAAGTAGTGGCTCTGCTTTTAGAATCAGATTTATTTCAAATTACATTCTGACATCGATCATCTTCAAGTATAATGCTCGTGATTTTAGCAATCTCCTTTAGAAAGAAAATAAGCATTATTTGTTGTTCAATTTATTCTGTAGGAGTAGGAGACAATTCAGTAGGAGACAATGTCCACTACAGTAGTGTTTCAAAGCTCTGTTCCAAAACCTTTATTTGATCTACTGTAACTCACAGAAATACCAATATGTCCTGATCTACCTTCAGCCCACTCCTGCCAAGAAATATGCTATAGAGTCCAAACATGAACCTGGCCGAAAACCAAATTATAAGAGACTAAAATGCAGTTCTAAAAAGGCATGGGAGAATGGGAAAATATGTCAAAACAAAGGCTGAAAAGATCGAGGTTTGATCCATACCCTCTTCAGCAGAGCTAAGAAATGTTACTTTTTGGACTATAGCTAACACAACCAATTACCACATGACCATTCTAGGAGCTACAGTTCAAGTATGTAGATTTTCCAAACTAGGCTCTTGAGTCACCACATCCATAGCCTCTCCTAAATCAGTGTTTCTCAATACTCCGAATGCCGCAACCCCTTAATACAGTTCCTCGTGTTGTGGTGACCCCCAACCATGACATGAATTTTGTTGCTACTTCATAACTGTAATTGGGCCAAACTTCCCACACAGAACCCCATGACCAACAGAAAATACTGTGTTTTCTGATGGTCTTTGGCCACCCCTCTGACATCCTCACACGACCTCCCAGGGGTCCCAACCCCCAGGTTGAGAAGCACTGTCCTAAATGAACACTTGATCCTGTCCTGACAACCAGGTATGAACACTTAATGTACTTAATTTGCTTGTCTCAAATCTACTCAGAACACTCATACGTTACTCATAAGTCGCAAATCCACTCATAAATTACGATTCGCCAAAGAGAACCAATAAAAACAATATAAAATGAGTGGTGGTGACAATAAATAATTCAGTTGTATTAGAACTCCTGTGTGTCTCAACAGTGTGGCTCGTGTTCAGGCATCATGGGAGCTGTAGCCCAAACTATCAGGATGGCAACTATTTGGAAACAACAGCACTAAGACAGCTTTAAGGAGTAAAACTGTGCCAGTTGCCCTGAAACAAAGCAGAAGGTCTACAATGGGTATCTGAACAGGTTTAGCTCTTCTTCCAAACTCCAATGTTTCCCTCCTGACATAGCAGTTTTCAATCAATTACGGTATTTCTTGGCTAGACTCCAATACCAGAAGAGATGACAGAGGTAGAAAAGATCTTCAGGGGCTTCAACATTAACCCCACCCCACATCATATATACCCTTATAGTCCAATACCATTGGTATGTGAGAGATTTGTAACTCTATACTTCTAAACTATGACTTTGGAGGCTCGGCATATTTTTCATAATTATACATTGCACACAACACATTGCTGAAAAGACTAGGGACATGCCAACTTACCTGTTTTAGGAGGGCAGAGGAGATGAGAATGTCATTCATGAAAAAGCAAGAAGGCCTTGGGTACTCCTCAAGAGAGGCAAAGCAGACGTGTTCAAGAATAGTCTTCTTTCTTTCATAGGCAAACTCTTCTATAGCCTATTCCCTAGAAATTAAAAAAAAAACAACTTCATTTCACAGTAACCACCGTCTCGTCAGCATTTCACTGCCTGGTGCCAACCACTGACTACAAGGTCCAGTAGTTGTGCATCTCTTGATTCACTGGACAGCTGTGCCTCTTAGCTTCCAAAAAGAACAACAGGGCTCCAAGTTCCTCTCAGATAGTATATCCAAGGGATATATGATATCTGCTTTCTCCCACTGGCCATGAGATCAAGGGTCAGGAGAAGACTGCCTCTCAGGACAGACAGCCCAGAAAAGGGAAGGCCAGCGTGGTCCTAGCCAGGAGCCAAAGGAGGACTCCGCAAGGAGCTTGTTTCTTCCCTTCCTGCCAGAAATGCCCTCTGTAACTCAGAATGAGTTTGTTTCTCCCACAATCTCTTTTTACGCTGTGCCTTGATTTTTAGATTGTCAGCCTGAGGGCAGGAACTGTCTTTCTTATTATGAATAGTTGTAAACGGCTCTGAGAGCATTTTTCAGTTGAAGAGTTGAATAAACATGATTTAGATCAGGGCTGGGGAATATGTGGACTTTCAGATATTGTTTGATTGCTACTTTCTTCATACTAGAAGTCTCATCATCTCTTAATGATACTGTTTAAGGCTGATGAGAGCTGCATGTCAATGACACCTGGAGGATAAAATTTCCCACTTCTCCTTGAAATCAATGCTTAAAGGTCTCAAGGCCAAGCCCTTTGAGGAGCACCTTACGAAGCTGGGTCTGTTTAGCTTGGAGAAAGGCCAAGAGAAGGGGGCATGAGAGCCATGTTTCAATATTTGAAAGGGTGTCCCAATGAGGAGGAGGCAGGTAAGCTGTGTTTTCTGCCGCTCCAGAAACTAGGACTCAATGGGGCAATGGATTCAAACTGCAGGAAAAGAGATTACACCTGAACATTAGGAAGAACTATCAAACTATGGAATATCTGCTGCCTGGAAATTTGGTGGTAGCTCCTGAACACAAGGAGACCCCGGTGGTGCCGAGGGTTAAACCTTGTGTTGGCAGAACGGAAGATCAGCAGGTCAGAGAAGATCAACAGGTCAAAGGTTCGAATCCAGGGAGAGTGGTTTGAGTTTCCTCTGTCAGCTCCAGCTCCCCATGTGGGGTGAAGAGAGAAGCCTCCCACAAGAATGATAAAACATCAAAACATCTAGACATCCCCTTGGCAATGTCCTCGCAGACGGCCAATTCTCTCACACCAGAAGCGATTTGCAGTTTCTCAAGTCGCTCCTTACATGGAAAAAAAACCCTGAAAACAAGGGGGGCAGCATAGAGGTGCTCTTAAGGGTTATACCAGGCATGGGCAAACTTGGGCCCTCCAGGTGTTTTGGGCTCCCACAATTCCTATCAGCCTCAGGCCCTTTCCTTTCCCCCCTCAGCCACTTAAGGAAGGGGCCTGAGGTTGCTAGGAATTGTGGGAGTTGAAGTCCAAAACACCTGGAGGGTCCAAGTTTGCCCATGCCCGGTGTCACCCATACAACCATGTTTGCTTAAATGACTGAGAGGGAAAAGGAAGGGGGCTGAGACTGCTAGGAATTTTGGGAGTTGAAGTCCAAAACACCTGGAGGGCCCAAGTTTGCCCATGCCTGGGTTACACCAAAGGCCAAGGATGGGTTTTGAGGAGGGAATGGAAGAAAACACAGATGAGGAATCACAAGTGAATTTACTGGGAAGCAGTTCAATCTATGGGAGGAGGGGGTAAGAGCCTGTTGAGGCCTCAAAATCATTTTCTGGCCCAATAGTAAAACTGTAAAAGAATCTCAGGGAAAGAAGAGAGTCTATAATGTTTATAAAAGCTTCCCTTTCCTAAAAGCCATGTGCAATCTCAGCCTGGAAACATCGCATCGGAAATAAATAAATAAATAAAATGAACATAGTTTACAGCTTTTCAAATGACAATGATATCTTCTAGGCCCAGTTCTAGGTAAATTCTGAAATTCTGAATCACAACACAACTCCGAGAGACTAAAATGTGATTTTTACCTGGAAATATTAACTTTTGGTTAATATTTTAAAATGACCAACATATGTGTCAAAGCTCTGCTCAACAATCACTTCATATCCTGCTTCTCTCCTGGAAGTTGTATCCCTTCGCTATTCACTGCAACTGTTTGGCAGCAACCCACTTTCTCCCCAAGGATTTTGACTAAATATCACCTCCAGCCAGGAATGGAAACACAGACAGGCATAGGAACATCAAGCATGGACACCCCTTGGGTCGAATCTATACATATAATAAAAGTGATAATCTGTGTGTATGTGGCAGAGGTGTCCACTCACACAGACAACCTCCCGCCTCCACAAACAGCTTTAACCCATAGTGCTGAAGAGCCACCCAAAGCACTCCCTCCAAGGACATTGTAGGTTATAGTGGGTGCCATGAACAATGTTCTCCCCAAACACCATACTGCCCACCACCAAAGTGAAGGCTTTCATTTGGGGACAATTTCATCCTAGATGTTCTGTTTTTCCTCCAGAATGGACATCCCAGGGTTCCTTACTCTTTCCATTGCTGTGGAATTTGCATGACCCTGCCCACTACCTTTCCTTTAACTCTTTACTACCCTTTCCTATGGCAAACAGGAATTGATCAGCAGACCGAACATCTCCAACGGTGAATACAAGCGGAGTTGACTGGCTTTTTCTAATAAACGGTGTTACTAACTAACTAAATGGTATTACCTAGCACCCCAAAACAAACAATGCCTTTTTCAAATAACCCAGGCATTGCCAGGTACCCAAGCTAGTTATTAATAAAATATAGCTGGGGCCGCTGCGGGCAACAGCCACGCCGGACGGGAGCCCACCATTCCCTTAAGATTGGTTATGGAAACATTCGAGGATATGGAGGAGGCAAGCAGCAGCTACCAGTGCCTTTAGCAACAATCTCCACCCCCCCCCCCCATTTTTTATCTACAAGTTTATCACAAAGAACCCCTTTAATTAACATGCACCACGGTGRGTTATTCTCTACTTTTGATTCTTTGTTTCCTTGCTTTGTCTCTTTCTCTTTTGCCTTTGCGTATGGCAGCCACTTGGCCCCATGGCCCTCACAGCTCTCAGAGCGGGGCTCTTTTTTCCCTTTTCCCCTACAGTTACCGAGCCTCTGCCCCAATGAACCCCGTACCAACCCTATCTTTGTGGACACCCCGATTCCCGTGGCCAAGAGCCTCAGTATCTGTGGATCCCCAATGTGTACTTATCTAATGTGTTATATTTTATATCTTCATATAAAACCTTTTTGTAGTATGAGGCCACCCAGCAATACCTCGCTGACCCTTCATCAGCACCTCTTGACACAGGGATTCCCTCCAGCAGTTTTCTTGGTCATCACCTCTCTGCAAAGGACTCAAGCACCTATCTTCTCCGGGGCCAATCAATTTCTATTGGCCCCATAAACCCAGCTGCATTCACCTTCCTTAAGCTAGAAGGACTGGGGGAGGGGTTGGGAGGAAGGCATTGCATGTGTGTTGGTGTTGATAGTTGTTCTGCGAAAATGGAACTGACACTGTTGGTGGAAAAATAATGACCACGACTAGTGTGAAAAAGAGAACTCACCCTTTGGTTCACTTGAGCTAGGTATCTGTACGGTGAGAGTAAGCTGGAAATAAGCATTCATCCCTACCCTCGCCTCCGTTGGATCATAATTAACTCTACTCCCACGAGTGCTTCCATTGTTGTTCCTTTGCCAGTAAAGTGTATTTACTCCCAATGCACAACATCAGGGCTGTTTGTTTCTCCCTTCTAAAGAGTCACATTGTCTCCTTAACAACCCCCCTACGCAAGTTGAAGGAGATTACTTTGACTAGAAAAAGAGGTCTCTTGAGTCCCTGGGATTCCATAGCAAAAGGGCTTGAATACAGACAGTCCCTGAGTTACAAATATCCGACTTATAAATCACTCATATTTAAGAACGGGGGGGGGGGGGGGGGGGGAGTGTGTTTGTGTGAGAGAAAGAGACAACAAGAATTGAGAGAAATTCTACCCCTATGAAGGGAAATTCACTCCTGGAAGAGTTATCATGGGGAAAAGCTGTCTCAACTGAAGCTTTATCACCAAGCCTTGTTTCCACAACAAGAAAGTGAGGTGGGATCTTCTGAACAGGGGTACAGACAGCAAAACAAATGCCACAGGGGTGGTGACCCTTCCCTATGCTATCCAAAGCTTGCATATAGGGCGCTGCATATCCAAAGCTTGCATATCCCCTTGACATTAAGTTGGGCTGAGTCCAGCTCTGGGAGGTGGTGCTCATCTCCATTTCTAAGCTGAAGAGCCAGCATTATCCAAGACATCTCCAAGGTCATGTGGCCAGCATGACTGCATGAAATACCATTACCTTCCCGCACAAGCGGTACCTATTGATCTACTCATATTTGCATATTTTCAAACTGCAATGTTGGCAGCAGCTGGGGATAACAACGGGAGTCTACCCCATCCCGCGGATTATAACCACCAACCTTCCAATCAGCAAGTTACGCAGCTTAGTGATTTAACCCGCTGCGCCACCACAGCCCCCTAAAGCTTGCATGTATGTATGTGTGTGTATATATATAAATATATATATACACATGAAGTTACACTAAAAAATGTGCCTGTTTCTACTTACATACACATTCAACTTAAGAACAAACCTACAGAATCTTTTTTGTACCTTGGGGACTGCCTGTACATCTCACTGCCTTCCAAAGTAAGCAAGCAGAGGACGTACAAGAACACTAGGGGGCAGCAGAAATGATTGACACGTTTTCTGCCTCTATGGCACTGGCAGGGGACCATGCCCTCCCAGATGTTGGCATTCCAACTCAAAGTGGTTTACAATAACAACAAACACACACAAAAGCCCCAACTGCTCAAAACAATTAATAAATAAAAATCAATAAAATAATTCATTGAACAGTTTCTTAAAAATCAAAGATGACCGACAGCAATCAGGGAAATGACTGTAAATTGTCCTTCGTTGGCTGTGGAAACACCCAAAGCTCATGCCTGTAAATTGTCCCCCCCCCACACACACACACACCCCCACGTCTCAACGGAGAAATCACTCCATGGGATGAATCCCAGAAGAGAGCATGTCTTCCTCCTCGGCACAACCAAGTGAGGCTCACCAGAACTGGGAAGGCTCCCAGAAAGTCTCACATATTAGTCAAGCAAAACAGACAAGCCAGTGCCTGACTTCCTACTTCCAGACTAAAAAAGATACAATGCCAAAAGAAAAGGCAATCAGGAGGAAAAGGGAAAACAAGAACATTTGGGCACAAGTTCTTAATATGAAGGGGATCTTTGGGCTGGTGGATGACAGCTGTGCAAGTTTACGCTGCTTGACAGTGGATCTGGATGTCT